CTTCCTCCCTCTCTCCCAAGATAAAGAGGCAAAGGACACAAATGGTCACTTGACAAAAAAAAACCAAAAAACAAAAAAAACAGGAATAAACAATAATCTAGCTTTAAAAAGAAATAAAGGTCAACCTTGTCAGTAATCTAGGAATAAGAGTGAAAAGACGCCCACCCTTTCAATTGTTTTGAGCATCCTTACACTCTGCGGGGTGGGAGAATAAATTACTCTTTCTGGTGTATCATCTTAAAACCTTAAGGGGCCATGAATAAAACTTACTTTAAATTTTTCCTTTCACTTTATGTTCTAAAATCTCATTCAAATTGCACAATTTCTCTTGATGACTTTGAAACACTTTCTGTTCAGACTATCTGTTTGGATTTTGTAACTTTTTTAGAGTCACAGTTGGAAAATGTTGCCAGTATTTAGGAAGGCATAGCAACCTGCTCAGTAAATCCTGGCCTTCAGTAAAGCCTTTTGAGACAGAGGATTGCTTTACACCTGAGCATAAGGTTTGGCTGCAACTCATGAACAAAGACCCTCAGAAAAAAGTTTACCAAGGCAAAACTAACAACCCATTTTCTACCTAAATCTTCCCTGGAACAAGGTGGGATGATTAAAAAGCACATATCTCAATGTACTTATACTGTGTGAATGCATAATTCTTGTCTAATACAAATAGGAAAAGAAAATGTAGAGAGATACATGTAAATCTGAAAACTTAACTTACCCTCTTAATAGAGTCATTCTCCAAGGAATGCGAATTATACTTAGAAGTTGATGCAGAAGCCATACTGGAAACTACCAAGGAAGAAAACATTCTATATTATCTGACCTTGCATTGCTGTTTCAAACATGAGACATTACAGAGGTAAATAGTTCAAGAGACAAGCAACAGTACAACTTTAGAGACCCTAATTGTATACTAGATTACCATTAAATGAGAAATACAAAGGACTCCCCGAGCACAGGCAGAGAGGGAGAGTGCCAAGGAAGACAAGATGGAAATGCTGTGTTCATCACATTCTTAGGTGTTAGGTTTGGTAGGGTGAGAGGTATGCCAAACTTACCTATACATTCTCAAGTTTCATCTAGAAGTAAAGAGGATGCTATCTATGCCAGATGCACAGCTAGACAATAAATGACAATTAAGGGCCATGTGTGGAAGCATACATCTGTGACCTAGCACTTGAAAGCCTGAAGTAGAGGGCTCAGAAGTGTGAGAATGGTCTGTGTTCGAAAGTGAGAGTCTGTCTCAAGAAGAATAAAACATGTTGGGGAACGGGAGCTAAACATCAGAAGGGGAACTCTAGAGGACAACACACATATTCTAGGAATTTTTCTCATAGTGCTCAAGCTGCCATCTTCAAAAAAAAAAAAAAAACCTTTACTGTTTATCAGTGTGTGACAAGTGTGAAATTTCTATACCTCTTAAATTTTAGAGATAACTTACAGACAGTGAAGCAGAATTCTAAAAGGTTGGGTAATATAACTTGTACAATTTTCCCCTTTAAGGATTCTGGTTTGGTCATATTAAGGACTCTAATGTGAAATAGATTCCACTGAAATGAAATTCGTATGAATTTATTTAATCAGTATTTTCTAGTGAAAGTACATAATTCATGTAAATAATGCATATTCCTCGATTAGTCACGAACCAAAGTATTACATGGCCAGGAGACACAAAAGTATCTTTAAAAAGCATTTATGATTTTGTGTGTGCATGATGTACATGTGTGGGCACACATGCTGCAGCACACACGCAGGGGTCTGAGGATAACTTTGTGGAGCTGTGGAGCTGGTTTTCTCTTTCCACCTTTATGGTTCTGGGGATCAAACTCAGGTCACTAGGCTTGCACGGCAAGTGCCTTTACCCGCTGCACCATCTGACCAGCCCCACAAAAACATTTTAATGTGAGCATTCATTTAGACTGCTAAGGATTATACCAACAACAGAGAAACAGAAATTCTTCAGTTATCAATATTAATGACAGGCAGGGATGAAGTCATGTTGACTGGGTATCTATAGCATCTTTTGGCCAGGCTCCATTAATGGTTACCCAGGCTAGGGAGTGATAGTTCAGTCAGTAAAATGCCTGCCTTGAAATCATGAGGACCCAACTTTGATCCCCAGAACCCATGTAAAAAGCTGAGCATGGTGGCACATGTGTCTATAATCCCAGGGCTGGGGACCCTGCCCTCCCCAGCCAGCCAGCCAGCCAGTCTAGCATACTTTGTGAACTCCAGCCAGTGATAAACCCCATCTCACACAAGGTAGACTGCTCCAGAGGAACACCAGCCAAGGTTGTTCTCTGACCTCCACACACTCACACACACATGAGCACCTCTCCCCCACAGGAACACTCATACACACAAACACATACACACAAACAAAAATGTAAAAGTCACTCCCTCACAAAGCAGAGCATGGAGAATACCAGCTTGCTACACCATAAGGCAGAATGACACCTCCTACAGCTGGTCACCATGCTTAAGAAAGGCCTCAGAGAGGTAAATAAAGTGCATAGAAGGACAAACATCAAGATGAAGAGGTGGAGAGATTGACAGATGAGACCTTACAAGAGTGGGGATGTCAGGCTATCCCCACAAGAGGTCAATTTGACAAGGGCAAAGTTCGTGTCCATTTGGCTCATGGTTTTATCCCGGCACACAATGGCACTATCAACACTGTAGTGAGTGAATGTGTGGAAAATCCACACTATCATGAGACATCAAGATGGGGCAACTTCAATACTGGTTTACCAAATCCCACCACACTGGAAGTAGGAAGTGTCACTGAAGCATGAAGGTGAACTATGAGCCCAGAGTGAAGACACACGCGTGGACTCTCAGAACTAGGGTGGCAGCAGTAATAGGAGCTCTTGAGCCCAGTAGTTTGACACTAGGCTGGGTAACAAAGGGAGACCTGGAAGAAGGTAGGGGGAAGGAAGGAAATGAAAAGAGGAAAGAAAAGACAAGAAAAAACAAAAACAGAAGTGCAAAGACAGAAAAGGAATAAAAGAAAAGATAAAGTGAACAATTAGGAGGTAAAAGCAAAAAGCAAAATGAGAAGAGACAGCCCTAAGGGGTAAGGACAACTTAAGCTCTAGCTTTCAAAAAGATCAATGAATGACTGTCAAATGAATTAAATTCAGACTAAACAGTACTTTGTGCTCCTCTAACCTTACATCAATCTCAGGTATAGCAGAAGGGGTAAGATGACCTAGAAAGGGCAGGGTAGATGTACCTGCTCTGAGATTATTCTTCTGGTTAAATAAGATTATATAAAGGGATGGGAGAGTTTTTTCAGTAAGATATGAAATCAGTCTTTTTTTAGTCATAAGATGGCTGAATATCTAATAAGTCAGCACTTTCAAACCAAAGTTACTACTACTAAGTCAATAGAAGCTGTTTAAAATTCAGGTCAATTCTGTTCATCCCGTCTTCACCTGCCTACCCTGTGTTTATTCCTAAATCACGAAGAACAAAGTGAAATGTGGTAGTGCGAGCCTACAATCCCAGCAACTGTAGAGAGGGAAGGAGGATTGGGAGTTTTGGCTATATCAGAGTCCCTCAAAACACACACACATACCCACATGCACACACACACACACACACACACACACACACACACAGAGAGAGAGAGACAGAGAGACAGAGAGAGACAGAGACAGAGAGACCATCTTTAATGCCCTTGAAAAAATTCAGTTTAAAATAAAAAGAGATGAAGAAGGTTGTCAAGATGGCTCAGAGGATAAAATGAACACCATTGAAGAAACCCCTCTTTTCCCTGTATTTTCATTGCGACAAAAATCCACCATACAACTCATCCTTTCCCAATGTGGAACATGTTTTTTTTTTCATTAGCCAGACATGGTAGTGCACTCCTGTATTGCTAACACTTGGGCTGAGACGGGAGCGCAAGTTTAAAGGTAGTCTGGGCTGCATAGGGAGACTTGTTCTCATCTAACTAGGATCTGGGTGCGGATCAGTGTTAGAGCATTCACCTAGCCCCCACAGTAATAAAAGCCCCCTTAGCAGCCTGGCAGTCTTGTCTCTTTTATTTACTCCTACATTTACAGCACCTGCAACAGTGAGGAGCCCTTAACAGGTACTTACTAGGTATTTGTTAAATCAATGAATGACCTGCGCAATTATGACTAGGCCAAAGAATGTGACACTAGTCCAATGTTTCACTAGATCCAGGAAATCATGAAAGCCTATTAAAATAAATAAAAGTTACAATAAAGTCCCTGGTTCATCAGGATGTTCCAGGCATGATGCTCTGTGCAGCAGAACTGAACTGTTATAGCCCTCTGAAATAAATTTGCACCAAACAACCAGGACAGTTTTAGCCCCTTCTATAGACTTTCCCATAAAACAGACAATTTAAAGTAAAAAAAAAAGTTTTCACCTTTATAATGAATACAAAAAACAGATTACACAAAACACCTAGAGTAGCCATCACTGGAACACTTTAAAACAAGTGCAGGCCATCTTCGCTCTTATTATCCAAGTATAAAAGCAGTAGAAAGCCATTTTGACCTTGGCCCCATAGGGCCTTTGCTAGCACGGTTTAAACAATGAGGTAACTCTATTTGCCAGTGTCACCTGATTTGCCATCAATGGCCCTTGCTGAGTGGTTTTGCTGAACTTTGTTGTGTACAAACAAAACAGTGATGAGGACTACGGAGCTTTTCCCTTGTGATCCTCCCTAATGTGATTTATGTGTTTGCTTTTGCATTTAACTTAATTCAGGTATGCCTCTTCCCAGCTCAGTTGATGCTGTAGAGACCTACCCAATCTTGGAACTGGACTTCTAAAGCCTGCCAGCCAACATGGAGTTATGATCAAGCAAACTGAGTTCAAAATTCCAGTCTCTTGAAGATTGCTGTCTTTACTTGGAAGTTTATTTTGAAAACAAATGTCAAGAAGTTTGGGCAGTGGTGCACAATATTATTAAACACATTACTTCCTTTGTCATAAAACAAAATCTGCAAAAGTCCTTCGTAAACTTGAAATGAGAATTGTAGATGGTATCAATCTAAACACAATTTTACTTTTTCTACCTTTTTGTGTGCTCATGTATACTATGTATATGTGTGTGGCTCTCAGAGGATAACCTTAGGTGTCACTGTGCAGGGACCACCTATCTACCTTGTTCTTTGATGCAAGGTTTCTCACTGGCTTAGAGTCTGACAAATACGCTAGGCAAGCCCCAGGGATCCTCTTTTCTCTGCCTTAACAGTGCTGACATTACATGTGTGTGCCACCACACCTGTCTTTTGAACATGGGTTCTATGGATTGGACCAAAGCTTGCACAACAAGCACTTTATTGACTGAGTCATTGCCCCAGCCCCTTTCCTATCGCTTTGTTTTAGATTACAAAGTAATAGGTTTCATCATGCATCTTCATGGGTGTCATTAGATACTCTTTTCCCTTGTTCCCTTTGCCACTGCCTTCCCCCAGCCGCCTCTGCTGGTTCCTTGCCTTCCTCCAGTCAAGTCCCCACTTCTCAAATACCATGATACTGGCCTAAATCTAGTTTTATAAAGAAGAAATGAAAGTACAGAAACTTTAAAAAATTTTATTTATTATTTTTATTTTATGTGTATACGTGTATTATTGCCTGCATGTAGGTAAGTGCATCCATGTTGCACAATGCCCGCGGAGGTCAGAAGGGGCTGTCGGATCCCCTGGGACTGGAGTTATGGACAGATGTTAGCTTCCATGTGGGTGCTGGGATTCGAACCCGGGTCTTCTGCAAGAACAACCACTGTTCTTAGCCTCTGAGCCATCTCTCCAGCCCCAAAAGGACAGAAGCTTTTAATAAAATAACACATTTTTCAATGTAGTAGACTCAAACTCCTCCCCCTTGTTTTCAATTTGGCCTCTGTGGGGAGTATCACTCCCAATGAGGACCACTCACAGGGTTCGGTATCTGAGTATTAGTAAGTGCACAATTTACAACACTTTTCACATTAAAGGCACTCTGAACATGAGCTACTTGGGAGACAAGAAAATGAAAACAGACCTCACAATGTCCCCAAAAGCCATTTGCTAGATAAAAGAACTATTCAAGTTCCCAGCCATTTTGAGACCATTGTGACTATCAATTCAGAGTTCACATTTGCTTACTGGAGGGAGGGCTGCCCAATCCATGTGAAAATAAACTATGACATGCACCACTAGAAGTTTATTTCGTTTTGATCCATTTTCCTTTGGCATGGGGCTGGCAAACTGCTCCTGTAAAGGGCCACTGGTAACCAGTACAGGCTCTGTGGCCCATACACATCACTATTACAACTGCCCAACTTGGCATTGCAACACCAAAAGTGACATAGAAATGATGTATTCAATAAAATTTCATTTACAGAAACAGACTGCTATCTCTTGCTTCAAATTATTATTTCCAAACCACCTTTCATCAGCCCAAACAAATAATAATTGTGTCCTTTTAAATAGCAAAATAAATTAACTCTACCTTTCATGGTTTGTCAAAAGGCCACTATGCCCAGTGACAAAGTGGTGTGATAGCGTTGAAAAGGGGAATTCTGTACTCAAGAATTTGGGTTTCCAATCCCAATTATGTCATATTAATGATAATAGTCCTGCAATGTTGCGCAAAGGGCAGTTCCCTGTCATAAACCTGGCAAGATAGCACTTGCCCTCAGAGAGGGTGAGGAGGATCATGTGAAATGATACCACAACAAATGATGTAACAGAGGTATTCACATACAATCACCCTCCTCCAACTAAGGGCTTTCCACAAATTCACGATTCTTCAAACTGGTGCTCAGACTAGGTTATTGAGGGGAATTCTTTCCCTAGAAAGACCCAAATAAATATCTATCCCTTCTTCAAAAGGCACCAACAACAAATGAAAGCATGGTTCATCAAAATCCACCTTAGGGAACCAATGAGCTTATTAGGCTTACTTACAGAGCATGGGTGAGGGTTTCTTACAGTGAGTGACCCTAATGAGCTGCACCACGGAAAAGACAGCCAGCATGGATAATGACTTCCCTGCATGCATGGCATTCCCCCTTCAGTTAACTTTCCACAGTCTACACACTCTAGCACCTCCTGACCAGGAGGCAATGTGCAATTAGGGAAAAGTTATGTAGAGCTAGTTGGGAGGTACTGAAGAGGATGGTTCAGATCAAGTGAGGGTCAAATGATGCTCCACACATACTTCTATGAGGGAATGTGATCAACAGGCCCCATCTTGAAAGTCTCTTCCAAGTAGGTCACAGCTGCTCTGATGAAGATGATGGCTGTTGTAATCTAATCTCAGCAAGGCTTGAATAGCATTAAAGCAGTTGACCTTCAAAGTATATGTATTTCCATTGAAACACTTCATTCCCAGCTCAGAGAAACTTCCCATGGAATGCCTCCTGGAGATATCATCTTATTACCTTCTATTCTGGCTCAAGTCATCTAGAAATAGATTTACTTTAAGGAACTTCTAGCATAACCCCCTCAACTAAGTGGCTTACTGCCCAAATAGACACATGCAATTCATATGCATTAGAGCTTCTCAATTTGCCACTTCAAATCTCAGGGTTGAAAGTATTTAGTTTGACGATAACATCAGAGGTTATAAAATGTTATATCGTACCTCAAAGTCACTGTTCTTATCATTTTGATATTTATACTAATTCATCTCAAAGATACATCTACTTTTACTGTTTTAAATGTTGCAAAGGTCTTTGGCTGAAACTAGTGTAATTCATAGCCGGTTGAAAAGGCATTTTGAATCACTTTTTCCAGTGGGTAGTGATGGATTTGGGGCAGATCCACTTACCCTATTTCTTGGTCCCCTCATGACAAATGACACATCTTCAGGACAGCTGACCGGCTTTAGCGGCATGAGCTGTGGCCACGGAACAGGGTAACTTTAGATATCATAAGTCAAAACTGGTATGGCAAATAAACTATTAAAAAGTCAACAACTGTCAGGTTATTTTTTAATGTACAAAGACTATGGTACTGATAGGACACATGTTTAAACAGATCATTAAAATCACCAATGGATCTTATAACATTCAAATATCTGCAAGTAAACAACATTTTAAAATAGGAACATGATCAAGTTCCCATCTACCTGCCAATTCCAAAAGTCATGAACCCAGCTAAATTGCTCTAAACTAAACAAAATATTTTGAATTATTTTTCTGTAGTGAGAAATAGTCTCCAGAAGTACATGCTAAATATATAAGTAAAAGGCATATTTTACGCAAAAAAGTTCAAATGGTAAATGCTAAAGAATAAAAACAAGAGTTACAATTCTTAGAGCAATGAAGGTGCCAGTTTACGTCTCATTACATCCCATGGATCTTCTAGCTATGGGCTAAAGGACAATCCTCCCCCCAAAAAGCCCAGGGATTGGGCAGTAGTGACAGAGTCCTCCAAGCAGAATTAGTGATATGTTTATAGGAGAGGGAAGCACTTTGTAGCACCTGTGCAGTTTCTAGAACACAATAACAATAATGAGAGGAAAGAGGCTTCAGGTACATGTAAAAGAATTCCTCCAGGTACTTTGGCTCAAAGGTGGAATCAGCTGCTCTGCTGACACCAAAGCCTTATCTGCTTGCAGATGCGAGCTTTTCTGTCTCCTCACACGCACACGCTTCACTTCTGTATATGATGCACAGATTTCTAACACTTCACAGCTCACGCTGTACTGCACCCATGCACTGACTTCTGGGTCGCCCCTCTCTTTGGATTTCTAGAGATCCCTAAATGCAAGTGTTATGGTTTCTGTTATGAGCATACTTTGGGCATGTAGCACCCAGTAAAGAGCATTACCCTCACAAATTTCCATGACTTTGGAGAAGCTAGTAGTTGGCCACTAAATGTATTCCAACCTACCTCCCTAGAACTGATTTGTATGTTTAGAACGTCCATGCATATCTTACTTTTTCCTATACATGCACATGTTGACAAATGCTATGCTGCCTTTAAGAGGTTTAGGAGATGTTATGGGAAGAGTGGGTTTGGGATCTTCTGCTCCCTGCTTTTCTCACGCAGGTTGCTGTGAGCATCATAAAGGAAGATGCGGGTCCCTGTGCTTTGCTCATTTCCACTGCTGAATAGTAGAGGTAACACAGTCTTCCCACAGTCCTGTGATTGGCTTCTAGGTTTCAATAATACATAGTGCTGCTCTAAGCATTCTCAGAAGTATCTCTCCTATACCTGGCATGCATGTGTAAGAACTACAACATATTTTGGAACCAGATTTTCCTATACGTTTTCTGATCTAGTATCAAACACATTTTTTAAAAAAGTCAAAGTATATGGAGAAGACAAATAACAGATGATAATTTAGGCAAATAAACCCACCACTTTAAATAAAGCATAATCTCTGGCTTGTCAACACTAGCTCATGCATTTGGGCAATGCATTCCTTTCCTAGAGCTGCTATAACAATGTACCACAAAATGGATGACCTAGAATCACAGCTATGGATACTCTCCTAGTTCTGAGGGTGTCAGCTAGGACATGAACCCTCTGGAACATATAGCTAGTTTGCAGTGGCGACTACAATATGTGGCATTCTTTGGCTTGTGGAAGCATCATCTTGGTCACTGCCTCTGTTGTTCCATGGTTTTCTGTGTATTTCTCATAGTGTTCTTATAATGATACCTATCATGAGAGATGAAGGCTCAGCCCTTCTCTAGTCTAAGCTTATCTTTAATTGCATCTCTAATAACACTATTTCCAAGTAAGGCCACATTCTGAGGCATTGGAAAAACATGCCACAACGGGCAGGAGGTCATCTACAGAAATTGGCAATCTACAAAATAGTCACGTCAACATATCGTTACATTCAGAGCAACTTAGTTTTTCCATCTATGAGTATTCCAGGAACACATAAAATTAACCAGTACTGAAATAGTTAATGGTGTCTTAGGATAATGAAGTGACATCAGGACAATAATTTTGAGACATTCTTTACTCTACAAATGTATTATTTAATATTGTTTCCAGAGAATTTAAAAAGAGTCAATAACTATATACTAGGCAACTACTCTGGACCATAATGAGACATTAAAAATAACTGAGATAGGTCTTTAAGGGGTCAACCACTGAGCTGTAAGATAAACGACAAATGTAACAATAACAATAACCCTTGTCTTCATTTTAAAGATGAGTAAACAAGCGCTCCTCCTGCTATGGGCACCAACATAGTAATACCCTCCTTATTTGTCCACTGCAATATTATTTTGTGTCATAACAGTCTTAATTGAAATAGGGAATTTTTATTACTAGTGGACGAAAACAGAATGAGTATTCCATGAGGGGCATCTACTAAATAATGAGGAATTTGTTTAAAAGGCTGTCTGGAGCACATGTGGCCAAATAAGTCAGTCTCTGATGATATACAGTCATTCCCATGATGCACTTTCTGTTCAAAGTATTTTTGAAAAATCTTTCTTTGAGGGCTGGAGAGATTGCTTAGTGGTTAAGAGCACATACTGCTCTTCAAGAGGACCCAACTTTGATTTCCAGTATCCACATTGGGCAGCTCACAACTGACTATAATTCTACCTCCAAGGGGTCTGATACACTCTTCTGACCTCAGCAAGCACTGCACTCATGTACACAAACCCACACACAAACACATCCATCTGCACATAGTTTAATAATAAATAATAATAATAATAATAATAATAATATAAAATGTTTAAAAAATTCTTCTTTTCAAATTCCCTTAAGAGAGAGGCAGAGGCAGGAGGACAGTTGTGAGTTGGAGGTCAGCCTGGTCTACACAGCAAGTTCCAGGCCAGCTGGGGATATATGATAAAACCCTGGCTCAAAACAAAACAAAATTGCCTTTAGAGGCTAAAGCTACATAAAACACCATCTTATGAATTTTGGCTATATCTCAATTTTTAAAGCAAAAACGCTTCCCACAACACCTGGACCCACTCTACATGTGCCTCACAGTGATTATGGTGGCAAGCCAAATGCTGAATCCTCACCCAAGGACTGACACCACTGAGGGTATGTTTAAACACACCACAGTGTCTGAAGTTAATTCCAAAGGAGAAAAGCTCCAAGAACAAGCAGAATCATTTCATTCGGTATTTCCTGACCTTCCTGTACAGAGGCCAAGAGAATGCGGCCTAGGAAGTATCAATTGTTGAAAATCCTGGGCCTGATCCATCTTAAAGAGTCCTAATTTATAAAAGCAGGTTGACCTTGGAGGTGAGCAGAAAGCAGAAGCAGGAGTAGTCACTGGCCCAATAGGCAGCTTGCCAGAGAGGAAGAGTGTCTAAAGGGAATCCCCAAACCTGAAGATCCTGGGAAACTCAGAGAAAGGTTTACAATGGCTTGAAGAGTATGGACAACAGTCAGCTGCCTACTTGGGCACTCATCTATTCCTACAGGCATAAATGCAAGCCACCACTCATTCATCCCTGTCACAGAACAAAGGGAAGGGACTGAACTCACAGATTTCTAGAACTTGACATCACTGGCAGAGTAGAAGTCTCATGGAAGAAATAATCCAAGGAAAAGGAAATAAATACAACAAAGGCAAGAAGATGGCCGAGCAAGCAAAACCTCTGTTAGTAGAATGGAAAAGACAGGATGAAGAAACTCCAGGTCAAGAACAAAGACACATATTGAATCTGACAACTTCTACGCCTTTTGAAGGAGTTATATATACCAGGTGCTCCTCAGATGAATGAAAAGATTTCCCTAGTTCCAGATGCACATTGTGTTATTCACACTGAAAGTAAAAGCTGGGGTGCGGTGGTTGAAAATGGGCACGGATGATGTGCTAATGCAACACAGTCAACTACACTATCTGTACCAGCTTACTGAAGACCACATCTGAGACATGGCATCTACAAACATAATTCAACAGCCAATCAGGATTTTAAAAAGCTTTCACCAAAACAGGAACGGTACCTGCGGCAACCTTATAGCTGATAGAAAAATGGTGGAAAATGGAATGCTTTGAAAGATGGGAATAAGACAAGAATGGCCAGTCTTATCACAAGGTCAATATAAAATTTAATCATATTAGCCAGGCGTGGTAGCGCACGCCTTTAATCCCAGCACTGGGAGGCAGAGGCAGGCGGATCTCTGTGAGTTCAAGGCCAGCCTGGTCCACATAGCCAATGCAGAAATACTAAAATACCCTTGCCATAACAGAAAAGAATGTAATATTCAGGGACATATTTGACAAAACAGGTACAAGAACCATACAATGAAAAACTATAAAATAATGCTGAAAGAAACGAAAGAACTAAACACGAGGAGAAATAATTAATTAGATAAATTATATGAAATAATTATATAAATATGTGGAGTCCATAATTAGGCCCATCATTTGGAGGTTCTAGAAATGGTCAACTGACTTTCAACAAAAAGCCCAATGGAACAACACTAGTTCCTATAAATGATGGTGGACAATTTATGTCCTCATGGAAGAATAAATGAACTTTGACCCTTTTCTCACATAATATTTAAAGTTAACTTTACATGGAGAACAGCTGTATTAACTTTACATTACTGCATCACAACCTTAGTGGCTGTAAATAACACAAATTTATCATCCTACTGTTTCCACAGGTCAGGAGTGTAGCCAAGCTTAGCTGGGTCCATGCTCTGAGTCTCACAAGGCTGCTCTCAGGGTGGCGGTGAGGCTGCATTCTCCTCTGGAGGCTCAGTGAGGAAGATCTGCTTCTCAGCTCATTCAGAAAGCTGGCAGAGCTCACGTCCTTGAGGCTCTATGGTTGAGCTCTGTCCTTGAGGTTCCATGGGGTTGAGGGCCTTGGCATCTACAGGCTAGACGCTACAGGCTGCTGGCAGTTCTCAAGAGAACAGCTCAAGTTCATGGTCTTCAATATGCCTGTACAC